CTCCTCTCAGCCATGGCTCAGAAGCTCTACTCCTCCTCTCAGCAGTGGCTCAGAAGCTCTACTCCTCTCAGCAGTGGCTCAGAAGCTCTACTCCTCTTCCCAGCAGTGGCTCAGAAGCTCTACTCCTCTCAGCCGTGGCTCAGAAGCTCTACTCCTCTTCCCAGTAGTGGCTCAGAAGCTCTACTCCTCTCAGCCGTGGCTCAGAAGCGCAACTCCTCCTCTCAGCCGTGGCTCAGAAGCGCAACTCCTCCTCTCGGCAGTGGCTCAGAAGATCAGCTCCCCCTCCCAGCCGTGCCTCAGCCGTTCCACACCCCTTGTTGTCCTCTCCCATCTGTGCCTTAGCAGCTATCCAGCATTCTGATGTCTCAGCTTAACGCTCAGTTCACCCTTCTCCCTCTTACAGCAGTGCCTTAGCAACTCGGCTTCCCCTTCTTCCCCTTCACAGCAATGGCTAAGCAGCTCAGCACCCCCTGTTCCCCCACCTAGCAGTGACTAAGCAGCTCAGCACCACTTGCTCCCCTTCCCAGCAGTAACTCAGCAGCCCTTCATACCCTGCACCCCCCTCCCAGCAGTTCCTTAGCACCCCTTGTTGTCCTCTCCCATTGGTGGCTTAGCAGCCTTCTGATGTCTCTAGTTAACGCTGACGGGTTCTCTTTAAGCTTCCCGTCGCCTCAGCAGGACCTTCCGATGCGTCTCTTCATTGAGGTGGCGGGGAGGAAGTCCATTACCTGGCAGACAGATGAATCTGATCTTTGCATTATCCAGCTAATTGCTCCTCATTGTTGGCGGTCACGCTCGCTAATTGACGCGGAGGATCCGATCCTTTCTGGAGGAGCGTTATTTACAAAGCGCACTTCACAGTTTGTTAGGGGGAACCCTGGAGGTGGTGAGAGCTCTTGAGGCGGCCGCCATTTCACTTCCCTGCGTCTCCCTGGATCCATATTATAATGAGTGCGCCTCTCCAGCCGAGCCGCCAGACATAGAGAGGAGACGCACGCAGGAAGTGTTATAGCTGCCCGATGATGTGCCCACCACTTGCCTGACCCCCCCCCCCAATGGAGGTTGGTGGACTGTCACTGGCTTCAGTACTTTCCAAGCCGCTGACCTGGGACCAGTATGGAGGAATGTTAGAGATAGGTCAGTCGTGTGTACCGGCATACTACAGAAGAAGGATGAGCATGACAGCAGGTGACGTGCATTTTCAGGAGGGTCAGCAATTGCATTCTCTGAACCGGAAATCCCCCAAAAAAACAGCCGAGCCGCTTAGATCTCCAAATAGAACAAATTCTAATAGATGGATATCGGAGGGAGAGCTCATTCCAAGGACAAAGATGTCATATACTGCACCTTGAATGTGGCAGCTGCATTAGTTTTCCTTTTCAGCAAGTACAGAAAAATACCTGTTGATCCTGCCAGAAATCCAGTGTTGTCACTTCCTGTGCGCAGAGCCGTGATCTCTGACCATCAGTTTTTCCAGCTGTCTTTTCTGAACCATAAAATGCCTCCTCCCCTATGTAATGGAGAGGAGTACAGGGGACGATGTTCTGTAGTCCTGTCTTAGGCTTGGTTCAGAGCAACACCTGGGACGTGCATCCCGGGACAGTGGTTGCCGCGCGGTCCTCATTGATTTCAATGGGGTTACATCCGCGCGGCAATCATTACAAAAAGTACCTTTTTTGTTTTTTTTGTGACACACCAGGCGCGGCTTTTTCTTTATCGTGTTCAATTGCACGGACGGAATCTCTTGCGAACCGCCCTGCGCGACTGGGGTGCCATTAGAAAATCCAGTCCAAACGGCTGTGGTGGACGACTCCGGCAATCCGCGCATTTTTGTGCACAATTGCCGCGCGGTCAGGAGTGGCCCCGGTGTAAACCTAGCCTTAGGGTGACCACGCTGCTCCACCATAGTGCAGTGAGTTGGCGTTGTCACTAGTGATGCACCGATACTGGTATTTTGGTACCGAGTACCGATAATTTTTTTTCGGTACTTGCCGATACCAATTACCGAGTAACGGAAGTCCCATTCAGGAAGCCAGGCAGCGTGTAATGACTCGCCACCTGGCTTCATGATTAGCCGGGCAGCGTGTAAAGAGTCGCCACCCGGCTTCCCGATTAACAAAAAAGTCCCCTCTTACCTTAGTATGTGCAGCCTGTCATCCCCCGGGGCCTCTGCAGCGAGAACGCGTCTTCGTCCGGTACCCAGCTGGAGCCGTCTAGCCGTCCAATCAGGAAGCCGGGCGCCGTCTAATGACGCCCTGCTTTCTGATTGTCCGGGAGGCCGGCTCCATGCTCTCTTGTCATGAGATGACGAGGGGAGCATGAACCCAGCTTCCCGGACAATCAGAAAGCAGGGCGTCATTAGACGGCGCCCGGCTTCCTGATTGGACGGCTCGGGCTGGGTACCGGACGAAGGCCGCATTCTCACTGGAGGGGCCCCGGGGGATGACAGGCTACACATACTAAGGTAAGGTAACCTTACCTCACGAGGCCAGCTTCCGGTCAATCGCGAAACCGGGCAGCGTGTAATAACGCGCTGCCCGGCTTCCTGATACCGGAAGTACTCGTGCTAGGCATCGGAGCATTTGGACGAGTACAAGTACTTGCCCAAATACTCGGAATCGGCACCGATATTGATACTAGTATCGGTGCATCCCTAGTTGTCACCCTAGGACAGGAAGCGTTACTGGCAGGATCGCCAGGTAAAAATAAAGGGGGTGGGGGGAAGCCAGAAAGAAAACTATTGCAGCCACCGCATCTCTTCACACTGGTGAAAGTTGCATTCATCGCTTTATAAACGAGCCCCTTTGTGTTCATGCCGGCGCGTTAGTAAAATAAACCCTCCGGGGGTCGTGCTGTGTGCTCGGACGGTGCTCAGCGGAGTCCTCGTTTAAAGCCCAGCCGGCTCCTGCGTGTCGGCCTCGATGAGCGTCCTCAGGATTCCTCTGCGCTCCGCCGAAGCCCCGAAATGCGTCTTATTAACTCTCCATTTACTTTACCTAATAGCTACAACGTTTTCGCTAAACGCACGCATTTACCAAATGTCAGGGCCGTTCATTGAAGGAGTCTCCAGAGTAAATAAAATTATATCCGCTTCTATTAAAATGACTAATGACATCTACGTATTCAAATAGAAGGAGAGACGCGCCGGGCGGGGGAAAGAGGGAGGGGGAAAAAAATGACATTTGGAGGGAGACGGTCGCGTTTTGTTTCAGGGAGCGTTTGTTACAGGTTGTGGCGTTCACCTGAAAGTGAATATTGTATTATGATGATGACAGCACTCCAAGCAAACGCATGCAGCAACCCGCCGCGGGCGCACAGGCTCTACGGGATCCCCCCACATAAGCTGCGCTTTGTTGTAATTTCTTTTTTTTACTGAATCAAAACAAACTTTATTGGTACCAGATTGACAGACAGACAATCTCTGCCAATAAGCTGCAGTCACTGTTCATGTGCTCTGACAGCGGCACAACCCCCATCTGTGCTGTTTAGTATAAGGCCAGCTTTGAGCCCATTGGGCGAAACATGTCACTTTTTGCCTAGGCTGAGATGATGTCATCAGTCTGCTGCAGGCATGAGGAAGCATTTCCTCAGTCTCCCCTCCCCCAGTGATCAGTCTGCTGCAGGCAGGAGGAAGCATTGCACATCTAATTCTAAACGGGTCACCATTAAGAGAACCTGTCATGACAACCACGTCTGAGGCGGTTCTGTGAACTGTGAGCTCACTGGGTCCTTGTGACCTCTCTGTAGCTCGGATGCGGCTTTTCCACAGTGTACAGACTGGCTGAATTCTTGTCATTCACACACTAAAGACCTCACTGTCCTTATAGACCGTCAGTGACAGGTACTCTTTACGGAGAGCAGATTGACACTACATGTCTCTTGCGGTATCTGTGCCGTTGCTGAGTTGCGCATCACAAGCAGCGCACACGGAACCGCCTATCGCACAGCGGCTGAAGCATTGCAGATGAGCTGCCCGGGTTCCCATAGAGGGGAGTGACTGGCATTTTAATTGGATTTTCCCACTTCATTGGCCGGAGTCTGTACAGGAAGATCAATTCTCCCCAAATTACCATCGAGCGGAACTTCTGCTCCGCATCCCAAATCCCCAGCGGGATCAGCAGCCGAAACTTCAGTCTCAGGTGTTACTTTAGTCTCCGTTTGGCGGGATGGTGGGGATATCCAACTCTGTGCACGGAAAAAAACGATTACAATCCCAATCAACCAGCTTCAACCTGGTACCCAGTGAAATCAGAGTAAGTTTCAGTCCAGGAGAGGAGCCGGTACCACCGTGCAAGACTGAAGGGAAGGCCGGTGGTCAACTTTTAATGTACCTCCAGCCATTTTAATTGTTTAGGTTGGAGCAGAACCTTTGTCAGACTTGCCTGCGTCCCCACTGTAGAGATTTCCGTTTACTTCCTGCTTCTCCAATCATCTTCCAGGACAGCAAGTCTACTTCCTGTTTTGTGACACTGATTTCTCCATAGCAAAATCACAGACATCAGTTAAAGCCAAAGAATCAAATCCTAGCCCAAGCCTTTAATATGAAAATATCTGGACGAGATCCCTTTAAATCAGGGGTGGACAAACTCCGGCCCTTCAGCTGTGCTGAGACTACAAGTCCCATCATGCATCTGTCTTCTGGGAGTCACGCCTGCGGCTGTGAGATTCTTTCAGTGCCTCATGGGACTTGTAGTTCCACAACATCTGGAAGGCCGGAGTTTTGCCCACCTCTGATTTTAAGTCTAACAAGCAAGTAATATATTGCAGCCCACAGTCCTTAGATGTGGCGACCGCATTCGTTTAGATGTTTCAGGCTTTCTTCCATCTGGTGATCCTGCCAGTAACACACTTCCTGTCTTAGGACATAGGAGGAACTTTGGACTTTCCCCGGAGTTCAGCTTTAATGTTTGCTGCAATAACAATGTCTCTCTTCGGATGCTTTGTGGGAATTCCTTGGTGCTGTCCTCCGTCTCTCACCATGTCCCTTCTCTTTCCTGCAGCTGCCTGTCCTGTGTGAACGGATCGTTCCCCTGTCACTGGTGCAAGTATCGGCACGTGTGTACCCACAATGCAGCGGACTGCTCCTTCCTGGAGGGCCGGGTGAAGATGTCAGAGGTAGGGATGTGATACAATGTAACATTCCTTCCATTGGTATGTGCAGCGTCCTGTATGAGGTTTGTTTTGGCAGAGGCGGGGGATCAGTGAACATTTTTTAGGCTCCGATGTCACTTTTCCCGTCTGAACGCTGCAATGCTAAAACACACCGGATGTATACCCGTCGCCATAGAAGCCAAAAAACCCCCCATAGGGGCCCAAAATGGTATAGTAAACTGTGATGTTGCACTCGGTCCGTGCAAAAACCAATAGTTCTAATAAGTCAAAAGTGAGCAACGTCCTTGTATCACTGTTCCATTTCCATATCTAAATTCATAAAGATAAGTGCATTGAAAACTCCAATACAGTGATCCCTGACCCGCATACGTATCAGATCTAAGTACTAGGGCTGTGGAAATTAAAGATTAATTTCTCGATTAATCGTTAAACTTTTTGATCGATTAAAATGATTTTGATTGCTAATGAAAACACCTCTCCGGGAGTTCCGTCGGCGATCCGGTGACGTCACGGACATTAATGTCACCGGACTCCTCCGGCTCAAAAAATAATGGCAACTCGTTTCGAGGGCTCAAAACTTCCCCTTCATCAGGGTTAAGGGACCAGGTAACCTAAAATAATCCAAGGGGGAGGCAACCTTGGAACTACAAGCCGCATGAGGCATTGCAAGACTGACAGCCACAGGCATGATTCCCAGAGGCAGAAAAATGGTGGGATTTGTAGTTTCAGCACAGCTGGAATGCCAAGGTTGCTTACCCCTGAAATAATGTAACGTGGAACGGATCAGATTTATGTATCGGTTTCTACTTCGTATTTGATTGGTTTTATGATTTTATTTAAATTATGTCATTATATGTGATGTTTTCTCAGGATCTAATTACCTCATATCGATACTCATGCGCGATACTGAAATACCGGTATCGGTGCATCCCTTATCTCTGCAGTTGTTCTGCAGTCACAATGGTCACACCTACAAGACTGAGGATCGAAAAATGAAAGTATAAAATACAAAATGTGAGCCAATTAAAAATCTAGCTAGAGGTAACATTGCTGCAATTCATTCTGTGCAATCATTGAGAATATGCTCCAGGTACATTCCTCCAGCATATGCAATGCTCGGGG